CTGATGACGGAGTGTCAGCTCGCTGGTAAACAAAGAGATGTCAGGCTGTCAAGGTTGCGACACGCCGATATGGGATATAAGATAGGGTAGGGAATAATGGAAATTAGACTCAATTTAGAGCACCCATCTACCATATATTAACCAAAACCAAATTACCCTTCCAGGGCTCTACAGAGCAGGGGATTGAGTTCTGTTGCCGGTAAGGTAAAGTCGTATGTGGCGGCTTACTTTATATAGACTAAGGACGCTTGTTAACGAGACGGTTTTCATAAATATGGTTCCAGGGCTCTACGGAGCAGGGGATTGGGTTCCGTTGCCGGTAAGGTAAAGTCGTCTGTGGCGTTTAGTTTATATAGACTAAGGACGCTTGTTAACGAGACGGTTTTCATAAATAAGGTTCCAGGGCTCTACAGAGGAGGGGATTGGGTTCCGTTGCCGGTAAGATAAAGTTGTCTGAGGCGGCTTACTTTACATTGACTACGGACGCTTGTTAACGTGACGGTTTTCCGCCAGGTCTAGGCACGGTTTTAAGCCGTTGCCGGTACGGTAAAGTCGTCTGAGGCGGTTTACTTTACATTGACTAAGGACGCTTGTTAACGAGACGGTTTTCGTCAATAAGGTTCCAGGGCACTACAGCGCAGGGGATTGGGTTCCGTTGCCGGTAAGGTAAAGTTGTCTGAGACGGCTTACTTTACATTGACTAAGGACGCTTGTTAACGAGACGGTTTTCATAAATAAGGTCCCAGGGCTCTACGCAGCAGGGGATTGGGTTCCGTTGCCGGTAAGGTAAAGTCGTCTGTGGCGGCTTACTTTATATAGCCTAAGAACGCTTGTTAACGAGACGGTTTTCATAAATAAGGTTCCAGGGCTCTACAGAGCAGGGGATTGGGTTCCGTTGCCGGTAAGGTAAAGTTGTCTGAGGCGGCTTACTTTACATTGACTAAGGACGCTTGCTAATGAGACGGTTTTCATAAATAAGGTTCCAGGGCTCTAAAGAGCAGGGAATTGTGTTCCGTTGCCGGTAAGGTAAAGTTGTCTGAGGCGGCGATTTATACCGTGTCTACGGTTTTATACCGTGTCTACGGTTTTGAACCGTGTCTAAATAGTGTAGGTACTTATTGAAGCAGAGGTGGAACACTAAATTCAGTTTAACCTTTCACAGCATTTTACCTTATTCATTCCGGAAATTTTTCGTGCGACGACGCCAAGCTACACCGGCGCCGTGCCTGCAGCGGATATTGCCTTCTTTCAGAACATTTTTAAATTCAAAATCAGTACGACTTTTGCGAAATTACGTTGAGATTTGAAAAGACTGACAAAAAATACCTGAACCATAGCGCAATGTAATGAATGCCACTTCAAAATGACCTCATTAATTTGAATTTAGGTGTTGGTTTCATTTTCGACGGCCATAAGTATCTACGTACATAGCTCTTTTGCATGTTAATAACCTATCCTATGTTAAGAATCTATCGTGAATATCCCAAACGGTTTCACAGAGTATACTTATAGACTAACCTGAAGAAATTTAAGCAGAGCTTTTTTTTAACAAACATGTAAACCTACTTACCCTAACGGCATCCACGCACACGATATCGCTGGTACAGCTCTAGTAGTGAAATATTCTTTCTAACAAAACATTAGGTATTCCATTAAAACTACCGTTAATGGGAATGTAAAAAAAACAACGAAAAGTTAAACGTCAAAATAAATTTATTGATGACAATCAGAATATACAAATAGTTCACATTTTTTTTGAGTCTAATGTAAAAAAATTGCTCCTCAACTAACATTATTCTTTTATAAAAATCATTAAAATCCCTTTTAACGACTTAAAATTACCTACTCATAGTAATAAATAATTGTTTGACTAAACCTTATCCTAAAACATTTATTTTCATTATAAACTGAACTTAAATTACTAAATATTTCAATAGGCAATTTGAAAATTAGTTTCATTAACAATTAATATGAATCAAAAGAAGAACAGTCCTTTAACTACTCATTTCGTAAAACGCATAGTCATAACTGACGTGAAACTAATTAAATTAATTAAATCTTAAATACGGTTTTTTTCTTAATTTTTAGATTTGGTCATATATTATTCAAATAATCGATATATGCAAAAGCAAAGGTCATGATCAGAATACAGTTTTATTATGAAAAAATTACTTAGCTTTTAAATTTTTCTATTAACTTATTGATAATATATATCCCATGAGCAATTATTCAAAATATTTATTCTAAGGATACACTTAAATATACGTTTCCTACGTACATGTAGGTACTTTTAATATGTAAAACATAATATTATATCTAATGGACACATTACGAGATGCAAGAAAATAAATATGATAGTGAATTGCATCCATTCCGACGGTGTCATATATTTTGTACTAATTAAGTAATTAATCAACTCAATATATTTGTTTCATGTTTATTAAAGTTACAAAACAAAAGAAAACATATATATCTTTATCTTATAAAGCGAATCATTTTAATGGCAAGTACTATCGCAAATAAACACTAACATAGTAGGTTACTGTAGGTACTTAATATTTTACCACGCACAAAATTTAATTCTTTTTTTTTGTGACCTAAAATTGATTGTGAATCAAAAGTACCTATAAAGTTATTTTAAAATAGAAAATCACATTTATTATCATGTAAAAAGTCATTGTTTAATTTCTAACCATATCCGTTGGCAAACTATCACAGTTCCGTTACACATTCTTTTGGGCTCGTCATAATTATTTTTTGGAAAATATTCTTATTATAATAATATCAAATCAAATAATTTTTATTCAAACCAATTCTACACACTATCTTATCAGTGAGTGGCCAAAGTAGCAGTAACTGAAGGGTTTGAATTATTATTGATTAGTTAAGAATCCGAAAAGAAAGATCGATTAGGAAATTCAGTCGCTACCGGTACAGTCAAGTTTAAATAATTGTACATTTCTTCTAATGGCATAAAGATGAATAACAAATTTGTACACATTTCAAACTATTGTTATTTACATTTTTTACATTTAAGAATAGCAGAACAAGGACAATTGAAGAGTTTTTAACAACATTTAATGGTTGGTTGTTGGTTGGCATGGTTTTATATTTGGTCCCATAAATTTAGTTCAAATGAGTTATCGGACACATTAATTTTCTACAAGTTAAATCCTATGAAGCTTAAGGTGCAGGTAACATTTGGCGTTAAGCAACTACATTCTTAATAAAGCTAATCGAAGTTACGCGATGCGATCCCAAGTAAGCTATGATATGTTGCTATACGTGTCGTTGCGTTTCACTTTTTTAAGACGTCCATTAGACGGTAGGTTTTGCTGGCAATCAAGGTTATGACTAGGGTTGCCAACCCTACTATAAAATATAGTATCATACTATATAAGGGGATCAAATACTATATTTCTAAGAAAAATATATGTATAGTAGGCGAAACTAATATATTTTGCATAAAGCAGACTTTTGCCAGTAAAAGCTTTCTTAAAAATAAAAACTGAATTATTAAGGTATAGAGCAGCAAACATATATGTATTTCAAAATTAAGTAGGTATATGTATATTTTTACCATATACTATATCTATTTTTCCATTTTTTTGATATCTACAATGTTTTTAAAGGTAACGCTTTCTAAAATACTATATATAACAGAAAAAAAGTGGGTAACCCTAGTTATGGCTGACGGATAACCTATCGTCTAAAGGGTGATGATAACTTTTTAGTCATCATCCGTTTATTATTCAGGTTCATGACTGATGGAATTGACTGACGGCTTCATGAGCGTCTAATGGGCGCCTAATGCGACCAGCGATAATGTATACCTACTACAGCTGCTAAATTTCCGAACAAATAGTATATCAACAGTCAGAGGGTCAATTGGAAACTTTTATAAGCGATGGGTTGGCAACCAGTCCCATGTTAGTCCTGTCCTGACACCATATTTTGTCATGACCACTCTATATCAGTTTTTGATTGGCTGTTGGCTATAAAAGTAATATTTTGACCAATGTACAGTCAATAATAGCCCAATAGGTACCTACAGCAAGTTAAATTGTAAATTTTTCTCAATTATGAATTTGATTATAAGCGATATTAGGAAGACACATTGACGTCCGAGTTACAAGTCAAGTACTATAAAACAGTAATTTTTTACATAGATTTTTAGCAGTGTAAGAAATTTTACAGTTTTAAATGACTCGACTGTGACTGGCTGCCAGTTAATCTGTCTCATGATGTCTCAAAATTTCCAACAACCCCCCGATGTATGATACAATACATCATATACATGCCGTAAATTTATATGTGCCTATGTTTTTTTTGTAACTATGCTATGGAAAGTTTGAGGTTCGTTCAGACTACGCTAAACTATAACGCGTATAGTAAGACCGTACTGTAATGTACCTATAGCGTGGCGTGACCGCGTTCTACGTAATATAATGGTGTGCGATATTGTTTTGCTATGAGCTATAGGTACGCTATAATAGTATAGCCCAGTTTTATCGCACCTTTATTAAGAATGCGAATAACGTCCGCAGTCTTTTGCTCAATATATTGTTTACCAATGAACCCTGTATATGCCTATGTTTTTGAAGTGAAACTTCTTTACGCACGCTTGACTTTGGGGTGGGGGGGGGGGGGTTAAGCTGGCGAATGCGTTACGCGTTACGAAAAGTGTGTTCGGGCGAGGCAAACGGGAGTTGAGTGGGGTAATATAAGCGTGAAAAGCAGTGCGCGCAAACATTTTCTTTCTTTCTCTTATAGTTAGTAAATGAAATATGTATATGTGCATACATGTATATATTGTACACATACATATGGACCTAAAGAAGTTTCACTTCAGTCGTGTGGTCATAAGCACACTCGTTTTTTTTATCAATATACCATATGCCTATATTTTTTATCACTAATAAGCGTGACTTGCACCAAATTTCTTTAACTTTAGCTGATCAGTTAAATTACCGGTTAAAGTTATAGTAAAATTTAAATTTTGCAACTCACACTAAGCTATGGAAAGTCTAAAGCTGGGTACTCATTAGTGAGCTGTAACCGTAACAACAAACCGTAACATGCGTGATACAATACGAGGTTCTAGTGTATACGCTTGTAGCTCAGTTGTAAACCTCGGCTCGTTGCAAACCGCACGTGTACCGCTCACAGCAAGTTAGCGAATCACGTACACACTATGCTTTTTCCCCTCAGGTTCGAGTGGTCTAACGCCTGGAATACCTCTAGAGGCACTCGCCAATTCTCGGTTTGAGGTCCTTAGGATCTCGCCGTCCCCAAACCCGGTGACGCTGTAAAGGTCATCTATGACCAACAGCATACACAGTAAAAAAAAAACTGCTTTTTGGTAACAATGCATGTAATGGTTACGGTTACAGCTCGCTAATGAGTAACCGGCTTAATAACGGCCGCTATCTCTAACTCATTATTATCATTATTACATTATTGATGGACAGAGCGACTCATCTATTCATCTACCGGACGGCGTTGAGTTTCCACTTGAGCAGTAGGAAGGCCGCGACTCTGAGCACGAGGACGAAGACCGTGAGCGCGAGCACGTCCCACCAGAACATGTCCGGCGACATTGACACCTCGGACAGAAACTGGCGAGGGTGTCTGCGGGCAAAAGTAAACGATTATTAAGTATTAAAAAAGTTTCTTCAAGTTGAATGCATAGTACAAATCTTTTTAATTATTTTTTCCTCACCAATTGTTATTAGACATATTTTTAGCTGCGGAGAAAAACGAGCGAAAAGCTCCACAACATTAAAAAGAGTGATGTAACAACATTTACGAATTATTACATTGCTACAACGCCAATACAATCATAATTTACCTTATTTCTTGGAATCGCAAATTTCACAGCGGTAAGGTTAAAAATAATAACCTTTAAAAAAACCGACACTTAACTTCACTCCACCTGATGTTAAGTGACGATGGAGTCCAGACGCAAAGATAGCTGGCGCAGCATTTTTACTTGCCACACCTGCCATCATTATTACTTACTGCCATCATTTCTGACCGCCGCAGGTTTTGGTAATAACAATATTTAAGAAAATGAGCGTTAGGTATTAGAAAACCTTCGGCGGTCAGAAATAACAAAATGAAACCGTAAGCGATAGCGATAGCAATCCCGTTAGGCGATTGGCCCCCAGCAAGGTGCTATACTAACCACTATTAATTATAACACCACGTATCGTCAGCCGCTCATAATAGTACGGGAGCTCAAGGTTGCCTCCTTATGTTATTCTGCCGCGCTTGGGTAAATCCCAAAATCCCCGCTTAGGCTCCCGTACTATTATGAGCGGCTGACGATACGTGGTGTTATAATTAATAGCGGTTAGTACAGCACCTTGCTGGGGGCCAATCGCCTAACGGGATTGCTATCGCTATCGCTTACGGTTTCATTTTGTTATTTCTGACCGCCGCTTGGGCTACTAAAAATTCTATTAAAAATTGCATAAAAATGCCTGTAAACGTAACGTCAAAGAAGTGATAGAAATTAAGCTTTGTTTTGAACTGTGCTCTGGTTGGACGCGGCGGTTACCTGCTGCGGTTCCGCAAGTATTACTAACAAGATGAAGCTTTAAACCAGTCAGAGACAATTGTCAAGTCAGTCAGAGTTCTAATAGAATAGTACTTACTTGTAGTGACAATAAGGAGCCTGATTGCACTCGAGCTGGGGCCGCTTGAGACCGTAGATGGCGCCGATGAACCCTTCCAGTCCGTAACGCAGGTACGAGATATACGAGCCCCAGTAGAGGTAGGGAGGCAAGTCTCGCAGGGTAACGCCGAACCCGGCGAACATCATCATCGGCACTGACAGCGTCGGACCAAGGAATGTGCCGTTCTGGAATAAACAGGTTGGAAATTTAAATGATCGATTTATCTGAATTAACGTATTGGCCGCATTATTTCGGATTATGTTTTAAGAGCCTTCGCTGCGTTAAACGGGAGCACGGAGCAAGCGTCCGCTACGCGTGTTTGTGTCATGTTATGTCACAATTGCTATGGCTAAAGCTATCGCTTACGATTTCTTTAGTAATTTCTGACCACCGAAGGTTTACAAATACCTCACGCTCATTTTCTTGAATATTTTTATTACCAATGCAAAAGAATAAGAAGAGCGCGAAGGATTTAAAAACCTCAGGCGGCCAGAAATAACAAAATGAAATCGTAAACGTTAGCCATAGCAATTAGGCGAACGGCACCCAGGTCTCCCATGCAGCGCTGTTCTATGAAATGACATAATAACTGCACGCGCAGAGGACGTCCGCTCCAAGCTCTCGCTTAACGCAGCGCAAGAAGGCTCGTAGAATTCAATAGGAATAATAAATAGCGAACCTTATATTCACTGTAGAAACTAAGCACTACAGAAGTCGTTTTCTGTAAGAAGAAAGTAAGTAACTTCCTTCAGTGAACACTAAAATTTGAGCAGAAAATCGTCTGATCTATCTCCCCTAAAGTTACTTTTTGGCAAAATAAAAAATACTCATTGTGACCTTGAAAACTGCATCGATCGTGAATGAAACTCTGCGCTACAAACAATGGGACTGCAAAAAGTGTTCTCAGGCAACTGCGACGGTATTGTGTCCACGATCACGCTGAACACCGTGCACGTCTTTGATCAAAGATGCAAATACTCACGACTATATTGAACGCGGCTCCGATCATGAGGCCGAAGCTCTGTGCCACGAGCACTGTGTACAACGAGATGGCGAAGAACATGCTGAAGCGCACGATATACAGCGGCTGCAACAACATCATGTAAACGATCACGTTGGACAACGTGCCCATTTTAGATCAAAGATGCAAATACGCACGACTATATTGAACGCGGCTCCGATCATGAGGCCGAAGCTCTGTGCCACGAGCACCGTGTACAACGAGATGGCGAAGAACATGCTGAAGCGCACGATATACAGCGGCTGCGACAACATCATGTAAACGATCACGTTGGACAACGTGCCCATTTTAGATCAAAGATGCAAATACTCACGACTATATTGAACGCGGCTCCGATCATGAGGCCGAAGCTCTGTGCCACGAGCACCGTGTACAACGAGATGGCGAAGAACATGCTGAAGCGCACGATATACAGCGGCTGCGACAACATCATGTAAACGATCACGTTGGACAACGTGCCCATTTTAGATCAAAGATGCAAATACTCACGACTATATTGAACGCGGCTCCGATCATGAGGCCGAAGCTCTGTGCCACGAGCACCGTGTACAACGAGATGGCGAAGAACATGCTGAAGCGCACGATATACAGCGGCTGCGACAACATCATGTAAACGATCATGTTGTACAACGTGCACATTTTAGATCAAAGGTGAAAATACTCACGACAACATTGAACGCGGCTCCGATCATGAGGCCGAAGCTCTGTGCGACGAGTACCATGTACAGCGAGATGGCGAAGAATATGCTGAAGCGCACGACCTCCAGCGGCTGCGACAACATCATGTAAACGATCACGTTGGACAACGTGTCCGTTTTAAATCAAAGATGAAAATACTTATGACAACATTGAACGCGGCTCCGATCATGAGGCGGAAGCTTTGTGCGACGAGCACCGTGTACAGCGAGATGGCGAAGAACATGCTGAAGCGCACGACCTCCAGCGGCTGCGACAACATCATGTAAACGATTACGTTGGACAACGTGCCCATTTTAGATCAAAGGTGAAAATACTCACGACAACATTGAACGCGGCTCCGATCATGAGGCCGAAGCTCTGTGCGACGAGTACCGTGTACAGCGAGATGGCGAAGAATATGCTGAAGCGCACGACCTCCAGCGGCTGCGACAACATCATGTAAACGATTACGTTGGACAACGTGCCCGTTTTAGATCAAGGATGAAAATACTTACGACAACATTGAACGCGGCTCCGATCATGAGGCCGAAACTCTGTGCGACGAGCACCGTGTACAGCGAGATGGCGAAGAACATGCTGAAGCGCACGATCTCCAGTGGCTGCGACGACATCGTGTACACGATGACGCTGAACACCGCGCACGACACGATCTGCGAAACAATATACTCAATGTTTCATTGTGTTTCATAAGTTTTACAAGATGTTACAACAATTTTTTGCATAATTATGTACCCCGTTGGGCACTACAATCAATTACAAAAGGAGAGTTCCATCTATAATTACATAAAATGGTGTTTTTACTTAACTCATTAACTAAACTATACAGAATTCATATTATATCATAATCATCCTATGGCCCCCAACTGCAATGGGTAGAGGTCTTTCCAAAGGATGGAATAGGGTGAATACGCTATGAACTGCTATAAAGCATTTACTGCAGATAAAGCCGGGAACCAACGGCTCTGCATGCCTTCTGAAGTCGGAGGAGCTCGAGATAGTAAATTTTGAACAGACTTCAAAAAGAAGGTAGTCCCAATTCGCCCGGTTATGCATTTTCAAAATTTTAAGGGATGACGACGCAACCACGATATTCCTGCCATAACGGTACTTTCATAATTCACAGATCATAAAACATAATTTAAAACAAATTCTAGATTTGTGGGAAACTGGTTAGTCAGATGGTACACGAGTATTTAGACTATTATTCGAAAAGCTTCAAATTATATAAGAAACTTTAAATATTACTCACCGATATTGGCAAATCGACAATCGTTATCGAAATGTAGTAGGATCCGAGTGAGTACCATCTATTGAAGTGTTCTTTGGATAAAATTGACATCTCGGAAGGAACTGAAAAATAAAATATGTTGGTTTTAAAATAAAATATACTATAGCTTTTTTAAACAAACGATATGATGACGACCTCCGAGTGGTATGTACGCTAGGTTTAAAGGACTCGTCTACTCAGAGGTCCCGGGTTCGAATCCCGAAATTTGTACCTAAGTCACGGATGTTTATATGTATAATTTATTTATATATATATATTTTATCCGTAACCCTAGTATGTAACTTATTTCGGTTCGGTTAATTGGTGTGTGTTAGAAATATTAATTAATTTCATTGGGTTTTAAAATATATCTTATAATTTTCTTTCAACATTTATTGAAACGACGACGAAAACTGATTAACAATTTTAACCGACTTCAAAAAGGATCTCAATTCATCGATCTATTTTTTATAACAGACTAGTCTATTTTAATATGATGCCATTGAAAAAGCGACGTGATTTGTTGGATCTGCAGTTTCTATACAAATTTCTCCGTAAAAAAATTGACTGTTGCCAACTTATATATTACTTAGGAAAAATAAAATTCAATGTTCCTCGTAGAAACCCACGGCTCGCTATTAAACCACTGGGCCCACCCTTGCGTAGAACTGTCATAGGCGCTAATTCCCCAATACCTCGTTTGTGCAAACTCCTCAACAAATATAGTCGCACCTTAGATGTCAATAACGATTCGCTGGCGAAGTTCAAACACGGATTTCTGGAGGCTTATGAGACATGACATGCATTCTTCTTCATCATGCATTTAATCTTTGTTATTAATTAGTATATAAGTAATCTTTGTAAGAATTTGTTATTATTATATATTTTTTATTGTACACTTTTACCTAATATGTATGCGCATGCAGTGTTGGCGTTTAATTGGTTGGCACATTAGCATTAAATTCAGTAGATAAGATTTATTGTATGTTTTTATGTAGCAACCGTTGGCTGACCTAAATAAATAAATAAATGACCAATCGTCATTTTTCCTAATAATTTCACTTACACGTTAGAATCGTCAGCATCATAGGAGACATCATGTGGTGCATCAATATAGCGAACAGCAGGTTGTAGTTCTCCAGCACCCTGGAGCCCTCGTTGCCGGCGTCAATGAACAGCATCCCTAGCATTATCCCCACTACCACGTTCACTATCAGTCGAAGGTGAGTCATCGTCTGCGCAACACGAAGAAAAGCTTTAGTATGAGGTATATTCACAGACATAATTATAGGTGTTACATTAGCGGCCGCTCGCGCGCGACTTTGTTCGCGTTGAATTCTTTTTATTTTTCGGCTGAATTTCTTCACCTCGGCTATGGCTATCCTTGGCTACTCACAAATAACGTGGCTTTCTATTGGTAAAAGAATTTTCAAAATCGGTTCCCTAGATCCAGATATTATCCCCAACAACCTCACAAACTTCACTTCTTTAGTCGGACCTGCCCACCGAAGGTTCCGTACTTTACGCAACATAAATGGCCATACCTATTTTTCGCTTTAACTTAGAGATTTGTTTTTTCACAGCTTCAAGAGACTGTAGGTTTGAGTATATATTTGGTTTAAATTTCAGCTTGATACCGCTACGCGTTCCTGAGATAAAGGAGTCTTGACAGACAGACAGATAAACGGCCGTATCTTTTGTAGGATTCCGTAGACCAGACAAGGAACCCTTATAGTTTCGTCATGTTCATCTGTCTGTCTGTCCGTCCGACTTTACTATTCTTAATAATCTTTAATTTTATCAGAAAATGCTTAAAAATATCTTGGACTCACCGAATCACGTTTGGCCTTTAAAAATCCCCTCTTTATGAGCACGGACCTCTGATTGGATTGCGGCGTTTCTTCGACACTCGGACCCGCGTCTTGTTCCCTGAGTACACTGAGCGGGTACTGCTTCCTCAAAGCCTCCATCGACGGGATGGCTTGCGGGTCTTCGAACCAATCCAGAGATCTGCCATTCTCCGCCTTTGAAGTCAGGACTTGGATCTTGTCCTCACCATATTCTCCACAGGCCAGCTCAATAACTGAAAATATAATTTATATAAAATAAAAACACAATAGGGAGTATGCATGTTAGTACAGGTATTCGTAGTTGCCTTTTACCGGCACCAGTCTCCCACATAATAGGTTTATGTATTTGTATTGATTAATCTAGTTACCTATTGTACTGTTACACCTTTTGTGTGGAGAAAATAAATGTTATATTATTATTATGTTTTTTTATATTTTTATTTAGTAGTTTACATCTCTTTTAAGTATAAAAAAAACCTTGAAAAAATAGTATAAATTGTCTAAAAAATTATTCTTTACACGGGCACATTAAACGCGCGCCAATTATCGAACGCTTGGATGTGACGTCACGATACATCTAAACCTACAAACAAGATAAATGACCTTACAAAATACTGTCAATTTGCGTTCCGTCAATCAAATAGACATTATGTTTCATACATTTTTGGTAAAAAATCAAACGCCATAGTGACAAGTTGCATTCGGTGGAACGCGGCTTTGAAATCTACGCACTCGCACTATAATCTCGTTGACATTGGCATGTCCTGTGAACATCACGTTTGTTATATTTTTACCTAAGATTAAAACAAAAAGGGAAGATATGGCACTCGCGGCTCAACAGTGATACGCTTAGTGCTATATTGTGGTTCATTACCACATTTCGCTTTAGTCACAATTGGACACTCAAACACGCTGCATGTGCACTCAATTGTATATAACAATATTGCATACAATCGGTGTTATAAAGATAAAACAATGCCTTCGATGCTTTTATAAAGAACACAAATAGTTTAATATCAAATTTTACAGCAACACTTTTCATTCGTAAAACAGCTATGAAATATTTTTTTTTGGCACGATTTGGCATGAATGTTATTTACTTTTTCGCCATTTGTTATCAAGAAAAGGACAGCAATACAGCTCAGTTGTTTGTAGAGCTAAGTTGTAGAGAGAGAAAAGAAAACTTAGTCGCCAAGCCAAGCGATGCGAACTCGCCGTTTCGCTCGCGCTGCGTTGAAGCGCACAGTTCTGTCTCGCTCGCTCGATTGAATGTTTATTTACAGAAGTGTGCGTGCGTGAGTGCGCTTATGTAGTTGAGTCGAAGCATATTTTATTTGATGCTAGTATGAGCATACCGTATCTTCCCTTTTTGTTTTGATCTAAAATTTTTAGGTCACAACCGCTCTTGTCGCGTTTCAAAATATTAGAATTTCCCACAAGCTTTTCGCACTTTTATATCATTAAAATTATTGCTCGAAAATAAATTATATTAACAAATATTGAATGAGGGACAACTTAAACGTAATACAGTTTATATAAAAACAAAATTCTTATTTGAATTACATGCATATACCCTATTATCCTACCCCGGCTGACATTATTGTGTTTCATAGTTTACTATCATGTAAGTATACACTTTTGGAATCTATAACTTGATTTGTGTCCGTCTGTATTTCGTGGAGTTGTCCGCAAAATTCAATTTGGAAAGTATAGAATTATGCCAGGATACTTCAAATAACATGCAATTTGAAGTAATTAATCAAAAAATATTTTTTTTTTTCTAATTTTATTTTGTTAGATATCATAAACTATTAAACACCCCAGATTCACACGACACTCGCTAATTCATGATTTTTATATTACTGAATTATAATAGTTTAAAAGCGAACATATATGATGCAACTCTAACCGTTTCCATAACTCTGTCATGTGAAGTACTACTGTACATATATTTTTTTTGATTCCCGAATGTGTTCACATTTAGGGGAAAAACGGGGATTATTGGATATTATGATCAATACAGACAGACCTTTCCTATGGACGGTGTATGAAGAAGCCATGACCCACCACGAGGTCTCAGTACAGCAGGAAGCAACGGCTTAGTATGCCTTCAAAAGTTCGAAAGAACTCGATGTAGTAGATTTATGGTCACTTATATTGTTTGTTTCTCGTTTGAACAGATTATTTGTAAATTATCTTTAACTTTGAACTGACTTGCGTCATTGGAGTATGATATCTGTATAATTAATGCATGATACAAAGTCCAAACCCCTACTTCTAACATTTCATCTGTGATTTGATTAACGAGTTTGAGCATTATGGAAATCACTACATTTTATAAAAACGAAGTCTTCCGCCGCCCGTGCAAGTTTGTTCGTGAAGACCTCAAAAATGTCATGCTGTTTTCAGATATTGAATCAAATTTACTTATAGCCGACCATTTGTCTAAATAGTAACAAATACACGCTTACTGCCTAATGATTCTCCAAAAAGGTTTCCACTTACCATAATCAGCTGGATTGTGGTATATCGGACATGGCACTCCTGCTTGTTCCAGGTACGGTACTAGGTTCTTGGTCGTGCCCTGGTAGAGGCACTGGCCTGCTGCCAGAATATAGACGTGGTCGAACATGGCAAACAGGGATGCTGAGGGTTGGTGTACTGTGCAGACTATAGTACGGCCTTGATGGGCCAGTGTGCGGCACAACTCCACTACTTGGGAACACGATGAGCTGTCCAACCCACTGGAATGGAAAAGGACTTTGAATTTCTCTAGGATTATTTATATTATGGCAAACAAGTATAGTATACTATGACGCTTTATTAAGAGCTCTAGTCTCTGATTGAAGTCAAGAAGTATCTCTCGTGCTTTGACTACCCTGTCTTCATACCTTATCCTACAGGAATATAACACTAGAAAATATTTAGTGTTACTTGGGCTACAGTCTTCCCGAGATCTATGTTTAGTTGGACTCCAATTGAAAGTTAAAAATGGACAAGTGTGAGTTACCGGCAATACATACATTTCAATAAAATATTTTCTCAATCTTTCTATTTCTTTCTATCTATGAAGATTCATTAATCCTGATGAGAAAAGGACGGACGGCGACCATAAGCTTGATCATAGACTTAGATCAGTCCGATATTGTAATGAAAGTTTCAAGTATCGCATACTGGCAATCATACTTCAAGGTCGATTATGTTTCGATTACGTCGAGGGAGCTCATAAAAATGATTATTTCTCATTAAGTGTGCGAACAACATAAAGAGCAACTACTCCAGTGTCGCGAAGGTCACGGCCCCTGGGTCGATAACGTTGAAGGCGCGCGCGCAGGCGTTCCGTCCTGTTTGTACTTATTGCTGTTTACTGGGTGCTAATTGCGTTGTGTACCTATTAATCATATTTGACCTTGAAATGTAGGTTTTAGGTATACATGTAGTATTCAAAACGTAGTTTCTTTTATCGGAAAGTATTTTTATTTTATCTAATCGATCGTAGGTTAGGCCATTACCAGTGGTGTTGTCATCCATTCGCGTTTATTATTATAAGCCGTAAAATAGGAGAAAATAGTAAACGGTATACACTTGAAAGTTAAGAAGTCGACTCAGCTTGGCTTATTAAAGTTGAGATAATTCAGTAAATTGGTGTAACATCACTATCATCACAGGCTTGTGTTATGTGATACTAGGGTAACGGATAGATTACATATGCTGTACCTATATAAGTATATTTTTAAAGAAATACATATTAAACATCCATGTGCTGGAGTACAAATGCTCATATTCATCACATAAACATCTGCCCCCACTGGGATTCGAACCCGGGACCTCTCGACTCGGCGACACCATGAAACCCGGCGTACAAACCACTCGACCACGGAGGTCGTCAAATGGCTTTAAACCGAAACTAATTTTTATTCTTATCTATGCTGATAAAAGTCTAAAAAGAAGACTTAGCTGGATTGATTTCATTGTTCTCAAGTGTATTTAGAGGGACACTCACGTGGTGGGTTCATCGAGGAACATGATGAGAGGGTTACTGATGAGCTCCAGAGCTATGGAGAGCCTCTTCCTCTGGCCCCCGGACAGCTGAGCGCCACGCGTGTTAATGTGCTCGTACAGTCCTAGATTCGTGAGGATCTCTTCTATCTGAAAGGAAACACATACCGATACTATAGTATTATGTAACAGTAGGATCTCGTTGGCGCAGGTGGTTAGCGCATTCGGCTTGCGATCGTGAAAGTTAAGCAACTTTCGCAATGGTCGGTCATTGGATGGGTGACCAAAAACTTATCATCTCGAGCTTCTTTGAGCTTCGGAAGGCACATTAAGCCGTTGGTTCCGGCTGCGCCTGCAATGGTTAGCACCCACCAATCCACACTGAGACCGCGTGGTGGGTTACGCCTAGTTTCCCAATTTCATCCATAGGAAAAGCCATTAATAGGCTGATAGTGATGAAAACCGATATCCCTTGCCGGGTTAATTTCGTAAGTTGTATGGCGAGTAATTCAGCATCTAAGTATGCCCGTTTAAAATATTTTATTGTTCTATATGGAGGCGCTATCCGGTTCTACCACGGCGCGGCGCTGATTAGTGTGCACTGTAGCATAAAATATCATACAAAGTATACAGTGGAGTCGATTCTGGCACGATTCTCTAAAGCTAAACTTAAATTTAACAACAGTGTATCCTTGTCTTTCATTATACAGAATAAAAAGGACAGACTGATGTAAAATATAGTTTTAAGTTTAGAGAATCCTGCCAGAATCGACACCATTAAGTAAGTAATTATTACTTATCGATTTATACCATGAGATCTATTCGTCTACGCGCTAACATATTATATATTTCTCTGCTTGTTCACTTTCCATTTTAGGTTGGATCGGCTCGACTTGATGCGCAAGATTTTTTTGCTTCCTCCCAGGCGCAGGGTAGCGGGTGTGAAATAGCTAAGACGCACTACATTTTATAGATTTGTCCATTATTGAAGCTACTTTGGAAATGAAATGAAATGAAAGTCATTAATTCAGTCCAGGATGTTACAAGCATTTGTGAAGGTCAAGAAGCTACGCCATCGGTTCGCAAAACTACGGCGGGAGACCTTGTACTGAGAAGAACCGGCAAGAAACTTAGCAAGGGCTGCTTTTTTCTCCCTGTATTTATATATACGGAGTCGTCAAGTTGAAAAATGACTTCAGAGATACTTCTGAAGTCACCTTCCATTACATCATTTAGGATATACCTAGATATATAGTTATAATAAATTTTATATTTAGTATATAGGAAGCGGCATTAGATATTTTATTATATTTTATTTGGGACCCAGCCAGGAGCATAGCAACATTCCCATTTCTGGCTTTCCATATACTTGTGGTTTTTCCATCAATATTATGGTCTCGATGCTATTTTTAGTACGATTCGGCATCGGTCGCAACAACTCCGATCAAGTTTTAAGTATACCCCACTTATTCTGTAAGTCATGTTTGGTATCGCATTCTACCTTCAATCTACATCATCTATTAGCTTAGAGCCCTAACTTTTCAAAAGATAATTAATAATAAACTTACAATTTCTCCTTTCTCGTACTTGTCTTTGCTGGTGGGTAGTTTGAGGTCGGCCGCGAGTGTCATGTTCTCGCCAACAGTCAGCAAACCCTGCAGCCTGTCATCTTGCTGGATGTAGCACGACATTTTTTTAAAGTTTTCTGAAATGAAAATCAATTTGGAAAATCTATACCATTCATTTGAATTGTAGGTACATTATTTTTGAAGTGAAAACTTCTTTAGTTACTCTGGATAATAGGATGGTCCTTATTTTTCGAACTTTATAAATGTTAACGGGGCACTTCGTCAAATAAATATATTCCACTAGCTGACCCAGCGAACTTCGTACCGCCCTAAAAAAATAGGGGTTGTCCAGCGGACAAAATTGTGAATCTAAACCATTCTCAGATCCCCTTGAACACACACAAAAAATTTCATCAAAATCGGTCCAGTCGTTTAAGAGAAGTTCAGTGACATACACACTCACAGAAGAATTATATATATAAAGATTTAGAAACTGTCTTTTTTTTTTATTTCTGTTTTTGGAGAAGACTTAGAGGTTCATAATTCATGGTGCAAAATGCATGTTTTTTTGTAAAAAAAAGGTTGAGACCACCACTGCTCGGTACTTTTGGGATGCTAAAAAAGCACTTGCGTGACCGTCACGCTCTCATAAAATTTTGTATTATAAAGATGTGTGATGTGTTTTTACAATTTTGAATTACACAGAGTTTTTTTTTATCTTTAACAGCACATGAAATCCCTTAATTAATGCATGCTATTATATTTGTACACCTGATGTACACGCTTCTGTTGCTGTACAGAAAAAGGAATGCATGGATTTTATGTCGCTTTAGATATAAACATCAAGCAGTTACATTCGGCACGAAACTCTAGCGTATATAACTCTGACCGTTGTAGTGCAGAAGTAGAAATTAAGATGTCTTGGGGGGAAACGAGGTGCGCGGGTGGGCTTGCGTTGCGCCGATTGGCTCTCCAGTCGTACCCCTGGGCAAGTATCCCCTCCGCGTTTAATTCAGCGCTAGAGTTACGTGCCGCGACGCATGTATTTTATAAAGAGGATGATGAAACATTTTCATTTTTTTAAACAAATGTCATGTTATAGTCAAATAAAGTATTCTCTAATAGATTGTCGGTGTAGACTCTTTCTTACTTGCTAAGAATATGCTTTGGTTAGAAACCATTTGGTTTTGTTTATAATATTGACATTTGACAATTCTCATTTCATAAAGTATAGCTCACAGTTAGATGTATACGCTTGCCATGTAATTAAGCGAGAGTTCAAACACGATTGACTCTGTCTATGAGACTCTTCAAAAAACAATAAAACACTGTGTAATTAATCCAAGTTTATACTTTGTTTATTATTACGGGGGTTATTCTTACTACGTAAAACTCTACGACTTCATCTGCGAGTTTTTTTTTTAGTTTCAAGTTTCACATTAGTTTAACATGCAAATTTCATCTTTCATTTCTCCCGCTCAAACTTTTAAAGTAGCCTAATGAGCCTGATGTTCACCTCTCCGAGGTCTCTTTTATCCACTTACTAAAACTCATCAAAATCGGTTCGGTTAAGATTAGAAAACGTCATAAGTAGTATTATAGTATTATAGTATTATACTATATTTTTTTTCTTTTCTAAGTAGGTACTTTGCTCGTATCCGACCTTGTGTATAAAATTGCAACCAAGTGCAGGAAGAAGATAATTACAACATTATGCAAAATGTGAAACCGGAATATAATGCAATATTTTACTGTCTTGGTAACGTTAATGGCGAAATAACTCGATCGAAATTTATAAAAAAAAGTGCCAAGTGCCAGTCGAACTAGCAAACTAATGGTTCCGTACATATTAACATTAAAAACTTGATTGAGGAATAGAAATTGAACCCTTTTTTATTTATTTTAATTTCCTTATTTTATATTACACAGTTGTTGTGACAGCGATAAAAGTTGTCGCATGTTGTAATATACTTACTATACCACTTTATACTTTTTTTCCTTTTGGAGCTGTATAATTGGGTACTTCACGGATAAAATAAAACCTAAGCAAAATGGCACTTGTTTGTGCGAATAATCTTTTTGTGTTCATCATACAAACATGCCCCTAGTTTCATATATATAAAATTCTCGTGTCACAATGTTAGTTACCATACTCCTCCGAAACGGCTTGACCGATTTTTATGAAATTTTATATGCATATTCAGTAGGTCTGAGAATCGGCTACTATCTATTTTTCATACCCCTAAGTGATAAGGGTTGTCCACCCCTAACATTTTTTTTTATTTTTTCATCTTTTTTTATAATGTGGCATTAAAAAATACATAAAACCCTAAATTTTTACTCCTCTACCACCAACCTCTAATTTTATGGCGGTACGAAGTTCGCTGGGTCAGCTAGTAATGATATATATATATATTTATTTAATTCACCAGTCTTCGAGTAATTATTCGCGTTTCGACGAACAGGAAGCAGTAATGTTTGGTCAAGCAAGAAAGTCGAATTAGTGGGAAGATTTTGTTTGCTTTACATTTAACAATTTTTTTATATCTATGCCTTCGCGATGCCCTTATTTCTATCCTTTATCCTAGTATCCCATAACACGAGCCTTACACTGTTTACTTTGCAGGCTGATTAGTTTTGCCAGTTTACCTATAATAATCTTGATTAGAGTGACCTAGATAAAATCGATTCTCCGAGGCATATAAATCAATAACTAATTATTTATCAGGCCATGACTTAGACTTCTCAGATAAGCTATATATTTTGATCCGGGATCAAACTTTCCTGGGACGTTATTGATAATAACCAATGACATAGCTGCAATCTAATCTAATTATTGCACACAGCAAATTATAATTATGTTAGTGACTCATTAACATAATGAGGATATTTGTGGATAAAATGTGATAGTTTTCACGTAACTCAAATGAGTTTACTAAATTAAAGGACTTATGAATGGCTGATGGTAATGATGATACGAAGTGTGTTCCAAAGGTCATCATGATATTAAAAATATTATACGATAAAAACATTTTTCATATAGTCACCGTTTCTTGCGTGGCGGTTTTTGTAGTAAAAGACAACTCAGATCTTTTACATATTTTTTTTATGTTAAAAGGGTGGCAATTAATCGTATGGCCCGCCTGATGATAAGCGGCCACCATAGATGCTTGCGATACCAAAAATATCACTCGCCCCGTTGCCTACCCTGACCCCGTCTGTTTACGCAAGTCCATGATCAAGATCATCCATGGCTATTAAGAGCCCTTTCACATTTTTTCCAAAAAATCGTAATTTTTGTTTACCCCCATAGAAAATATTTTGACTATTTCCAATAGGAGTAAACAGTAGATTTATTCTTTCTATTGCAAGTTAATGTAGTATATTTGCAAATACTATTTTCCTTTTTTTGTACTGATTGTTCTACTGCAGCTAGTTTACGGAAAAAAACGATAATATGCACAACTTTAAACGCCTCAATATCTCAATAATGCTCAATAAATTAGATCAAATTAATTATTACAACATCAGAAATATGTTTTTGTTGTAACTTAATGTATTAGAATTTTGATTTTCCGTCTCATTAGTTATCAAGAAAAACATCTAACATCCGTGACTTTTCCCAAAAAATAATGCAGGTTTACCTCGTATTTTGATATTGAATCAAATAGAATTACTATCAGAAACTTTCATTAAACTAATCTACCATCATTGAACTACTGAAATATGTATATATTTTTATAATTAGTTCATTCATAATTATTTTATAAGACTTGAAACATTACCCGTAAAATGCAATATATACTAATGCAAATCTAACTACGCGCCGATTAGTACGGCAGCGGCGCAATTTTGTAAAAGGGCTCTTAAGAAAAAAAAAGTAGTTGTCATTGCGCTGTCAAGCGCTTTTTTGAGTTGTTTAGAGGTAATAACAGATTTTTTTTACTTATAGTAAAACGTTGTAATTAGATTCAAGAATAATTGAATGTACTGATCAATTTTGATCTGTGAGCGTATTGTAGTCTTCAATCGTGAGTTTTCGGAGAATAATTGTTAGCTTTGTTGGAGGAGTATACAAATACTAGGGTACCGCTAGGCCGACGACTGGTGCTGTGAAGCGGGTGGCCTATCGGGCCTACAGGTGTCTGTGTCCTTCCAATCCCTCCATATCTCGATTTTATACAGGCGCCACCCAGGCTTCCCGAAGGAGACTCCACAGAGGAAGATCAGTGAGTCACTGAACTATATATATTATTATTGTTATACATATTCCACGCGGACAGCAGCAGACGGGAATTTTAGATTTAAATACCAAGCAGTTACAAACTTAAAAAAATAAAAAATATTTCTATATATATATGTGTATATATATATTCTTAAAATGAGATCAATCATAACCTTTGTAACAAAGCATATGTTCTAATACCTGTAGGTACTCGAACACCGTCCGATGCCCCGTGGAGGGCTTACACATCGTCATCGACTGTTAAAATAATTTAACTTTACCTGCTACAAGGCTCCACAAATTATTATTTATGGCACTAATAAATATAATGTGAGCAAAGGAGAGTTTTGGGTGAGACGGACGTAAGCGGGTGAAGAGATGGGTACTTTAAATAAATTAAAAAATAAAATACTTACTCATGATTCTGCCTCGGCCGTTGATGAAGACAGCGCCCCCCACCCCTGAGATGCGGTACCCAGAGAGGACGTCCAGGAGCGTGGACTTGCCGGCCCCCGAGGGACCCATGATGGCGATCAGCTGCCGCGGCCGCAACCTCCCGTGCACCCCATGCAGGATCTGTTTGTGGCCTGGAAAGTTATAACGTTTTCATTTGAATCGGAAGAAAAATAACTCTTTTGGATTGGCCAGTATTCTTTTGTAAGTTCCACGATTCCGGAACTTTTCCGGACCTTTAGAAAAAAAAATATCCGCTCTTTTGAACGGGCGCAAGAAACACTATATTACGGAATGATAAATTATGAAAAAACGTCCTGTCGTTACAATAAATGTAATGGCAAGTCTCATTTTTTACAAAAGCCAAAAAGAACAGAAAATAACTATAATCCAGTTGAAAAAGTTACTGTTGCTTTTTTAATTTTAAATGTTAATGTTGCTACCAAGGTAAAAAACATATTTGTTTCTTAGGTCACATCACTCATTAAATAAAACTAGTTTTTTCACGGGTTAATGCATGAAACTTTATTTATTTATTGACGTTTCACACCCATACGCTCACTAATGTAAGGATTTGCGTTTTTGAAAAAATACTGTAGAAAAGATGAAACGGAAATGCGTCACGAGCGTCACACGACTATATTTATATATATATGTGTGTGTGTAGGATGCGTGCGCAGCTCTTTCCGAAGAGCATGAAAGTTGTTGGAGGGTAACTCGGCAAAAGCTGAAACGCTATAAACGCTAAAAATATATACATATGTATATATGAGTAGTTCTCCCGCCGTAGTTTTGCCGATGGTGTAGCTTCTTGACCTTCATAAGTGCTTGTAACAGCCTAGACTGAATAAATGACTTTTCATTTCATTTGAGTGATCCTTGCGCTGCTCCATTCCCCTATGCCTTATGCACCGCCTAATGTTAGGTTATAGTATAAGAAAAGAAGTTTCACTTCAGATGTGTGGTCCGTGCAGCAGATAATTTTCTTTTTATTATGTAAACATACAAGTGGCATTTTGCGGCCTGTTTATTCGACCCATATGGCGTATGCCGTTGGTTTCCGTGCCTATTCTCCGATCCGGTCCAACTCATCGATAACCTCTACCTACGTCAACGGTTGACAACACACGACCACAAGCGACCTAGCACCTCATAATCTTCATTCTATAATTGTCAGTAACGATTAGCTAATTTTTAAACTGAAGCTTTTATAACATCGCCACATTTTTTTGCGTTTATCTGAAGCATGTCATGACGTTACATTTATGATTATTATTGGATAATTTAGATCTTATCAACAAGCATCGGTGGTTCAGTGGTACAAAGCTCGCCTGCTTTGGGTTCGTTTTCCAGCTGGGAAAGGACTTTTTTTGATTAAAAAAAATATTTAAAGAATTTCATTTTCATCGTGGTATCATAAAGCCACGCCATTTTGTTCTTTTTTACGTATCAATATAATGACCATCATTATTTAGCCCACTGCTGAGTGTAGGGCTACCGCAAAGATATTCATGTCAAGCGGTCCTGAATTGTCAGCTCAATTCCCAGCGCCTTTCTGCGACCTTCAATAGACAATAATGTAGATCCTATTGATTTATTGCAACTTATTCGACTTGAACATCATTCATGTTTAACTTCCTATTGTTGTTCCCATACGCGGTGTCATAATGTACCTATCCAATAACTTAAATAATATTTTGTCTTCAAAGTGTCCTTAAACATTTACTCTATGGGGAAAAAACATTTATTTTGACACAGATTACGAAACTATTTTTTATATAATAAATGCTTTTATGGAAAATCTATCACGTAAGTACAGGTCGCGACACGTAACTCTAACACTGAACAAAACGCGAAGGGGATAGCTGCGCATAACGACTGGAGAGCCAATCGGTGCAACGCACGCCCACCCGCGCACCTCGTTTCCCCCCAAGACATCTTAATTTTTACTTCTGCGCAATAACCGTCAGCGCTAGTGTTTCGTGCCACAACTTATACACTTTGTAACTTCCGCGTTGCATTATAAATATAACATTTCACGGGTTAAAGTGCGTACTATAGGATTTCGTCCTTCTTTATTGGCAACCATTGGTAACTCCAGATTACGGCCATGTTTCGTAATACGGTGCCCGCACCGTTAGTGTTGTGTTGTGTGTAAGGGTAGTTCGAAAAAAAATGTGCTGGTGGAGGAAGATTCGTCAACGGAAGCGGAGACTTAACAGCAACGCACCAGTCGCCCCGCGACTACGACCGGTGTAACCTGCTTCCGTCCTCAAGCTAAAACGCGACTAAATGACAAAACCAACTTTTGAGATATGACCAAAAAACGAAACCCGTAAACTTTAAATTATTGCTATTTTGTAACCATTCATCACATGACGGATTTTAAGACTTCAGCTATCAAAGATACGAATACCTGTTAAATACAGATCGTTAGAGAATTTAAAACTGTATAAGATGCAATTAAAGACTGAAGAGTCGACCCCATGTCACTTAGCCGCACTTAAGTTTGAGAATGGCAGCAGGGTCGAAACGTCCGGATAATGATGGTACGAAAACCTTTGCTTAAATACGCGTTTTGATCTGTGAAATGTTATATCTATCACGTAACTTTTAAAACGGTTTTTTTATTTAAGGCGGCTCTTTGACGACTATATTTCTGTAGCTCAAGACCATTAAGATCTTTATTCACAGCAACAGCTATTTCTCTATTGAAATGTATCTAAAGAATTTTTAGGTATACGTATTTATTACTAGTGGCCCGCCATCGCTTCGCTTCGCGCGTAGACTATAGTTTTAAGTCTTTTGATTTAAACACTTGATATTATATGTATATGAACTCACTTCGATAAGAATTCATACTTGTTGATAATATGACCAATAAACATGACCTAATCATTTTTTTTTTTATTATAAAACCTACTTTTTGGGAGCTAAATATAAAAGTTACACATATGCTGTCGCTGATTTTTTTGTAGGCATTATCAAGCTCTACAATTTTTCACTGGAACTCAAATATATATCTCTCATTGTTAAGCCAGCGTTCGTGAGAAACGTTTGTTCTCCGACTTAATTGCAAAGATTCAGTCGTTCCAGAGATTACCTCTACAACGTCACAAACTCCCAACTCAACTCTCAGTCTTTATAGTATTAGAATAGGTAAAATATAAATAAAACTAGTTTTTGTCCGCAACCATCCGCTATAATATTTGTGTTGCTTTTTGTAATGCAAAATTATCATCCGATTATCGATTTTTGCGAAAGTTGCTAACCTTCACTCTCAACTTTGTACAAACTTGCTTTTTGTGGAGTCACCTCAATAGCTGATACGGTTAATAAGGGAAACCCGATTTTAAATGTTAATATAAATATACCATATTATTCATAATTATGTACGTACTCAATAAGATTTTGTGAATAAGAAGTAGTACGTTTCCCATGTGAGAAGAAAAATAAATAATTGATGTATTAATGCATATTCGTAATTTCACGTAACATTCCTTGAGAGGCCAGCTAATGAAATGTATCATGTAATGAAACTTATAATAAAATAAGCTTTACATAATAAATATCAATCATCCTAAGCTTCAAAATAACGAGGACGCCACAACCATACTAGTGCCTCCCCCTCCCCTGTGGGTTTAGCAAAGATTAAAGTTGCAGCTTGAAAGAAAAATATGTTTTAAACCTCTTTCTGCATCTACTGACTTTAACCAATGAGATGAGTGCTTTCTGGTAGAATGGGCGCTAGGTAGCAAGCACTGAAAAGAAAGTTCAGAAAAGGTCCGTTAAATCACCTATGTCGTCACGGTCTATGGATCAATTTAAAAGCTCGTTCGATTAATAATCGCCAAAAACTTCATACAAAAGACCTAATAAAAAAAAATGGGTGCGACTGTAGGCGCGTGAGAAGTTATCCTTCTTTGGCATCGTTTATAATTAGTTTTTAATTGCATGCAAATAATTAATTACAATAAATTAATAAAAAGTCTGGAAAAGGACACAGTCAATAAAGTTCAGTTTTAATTTGAAAAAATAAATAAATAATCAAAATATTCAATTAAAATCGCTACTGAATATAATTTATTAGAACATATGTGATTTGCACTTGTATGAAACTCAAACACGTATTCCGAATATACAAACTAGAAACATGTGGATAAATATTATAAATATGAATACCTATAACTCTTACTTTATTACAAAAAATAAAGATGTGGTTTTTGGTTCTACTACACCAATTGTCAAGAGATGGCGCTGTAGTCTCCTGAATCGCGCTTTGGTTCCGTTGTTCCAGATTAATAAATACTTTTGATATTGTAAATATGAATACCCATAACTGTTACTTTATTACAAAAAATAAAGATGTGGTTTTTGGTTCTACTACACCAATGGTTAAGAGATGGCGCTGTAGTCTCCTGAATCGCGCTTTGGTTCCGTTGTTCCAGATTAATAAATACTTTTGATAGGCCTTCACAATGCAGTCGTTAGCACCCACTAAATAGAGATTCTATTTCTATTTTGTTGGTAGATTTTCTTAATGTGCGGTAAACACAAAAGTAACGCGTTACAGTGGTGCGCGCGCATCTTAAAATTTCACTCTCATCATTTTTTCATAACGCGCCTAAAGAAGTATAACTTCAAAAAATACGCCACCCGTAACTGATGGCATATTTTTTTTAAACACCCACATTAAAATAGCTTTGTAATGATGTTTAAACCTTGATTTAGCTGTTTGGGGCTTGTATATGTTTGAAGAACATTAGTAAGTACCTCCGGGTGGTTGAATTTCTCAACAGCGCTACATTTGTGAAAAAGTACCCAAGAGGCAACGTGATTTCGAAAAACCCTTAAGGGTTATGGAAACCAGTTACTATTAGGGAGATCTAAGGATCAGCCCACAGAACAAAGAAAGAGGTTCAGCCAGTGCCCTAATTGTGTTAATGCAGATAATATGATAATAATTAAGTTCTTGCGCAATGATAAAAATATCATCCTTTAATCTTACGTATGTTTTATCGATTAATTAGTATAATATTACAAATCGTCAACGGTTTCGCAATAACAAAAGTCACTGATAGTTGGTAGCTAACTGGGTCATGCCAGCCGATTACGAACTATATTTTATTGTTTA